ATGATCGATGATCATTGTAATTGATCGTTGATGATCGATGATCATTGTAATACGTGATTTATTTACATAATAGCTTCAATCGCTGGGTGTCCACCCCCTGAGCTGCTGGCTTTCAGAAACTGTGGCCCCCTGAGCATTTTTGTTGAATAGCCCTGCTATAGCAGCAGAACTAAGGAATAGCTCAAGAAACCCAAGCCGACCCTAACTATAGGATTTATCACAGAGGAAAGTCTTAATCCCAGTCTTCAAACTGGACAATGTGTCAGCCTCACGAACAGAAACTGGAAGTTGGTTCCACAAGAGAGGAGCCTGAAAACTGAAAGATCTTCCTCCCATTCTGTTTTTGTAAACTCTAGGAACCACAAGTAAACCTGCAGTCTGAGAGCGAAGTGCTCTGTTAGGAAAATATGGAACAATAAGATCTGTAATATAAGATGGAGCTAGGTTGTTGAGAGCTTTGTAGGTTAGAAGTCAGATTTTGAATTCTATTCTGGATTTGACAGGGAGCCAATGGAGAGAAGCTAAAACTGGAGAGATATGATCTCTCCCAGTAACTCCAGTTAAGACTCTGGCAGCAGCATTTTGGATCAACTGAAGACGTTTTAAAGAAGTATTTGGACAATTACAAGAGTCCATCCCAGATGTGACAAATGCATGCAGCAGTTTTTCTGCATCATTTCAGACCAGATGTTTCTACCCTTGGTGATCTTACGCAGGTGGAGGGAGGAGGTTCTGGTAACGTTTTAAACCTGGCTGTCTGTGTGTTGTGCAGAACCTTCCTGTAGCGCTCTTCACGGACCCGAATGAGATCGCTCAGTATCTGACCCTGAAGCTGACGGAGTGTGAGAAGCTGGAGCTTCCTGTGGTGCAGCCCCACACTCCTGTTGCAGAAATGATTCACTGAAGTTTCTGTGCAGGAGTTTCTACATGTGACTGCAGCTGCGTGACGTTAGCATGTCCCGTGGGCTTCTGTTCACAGCTGGATTCTACAAAGATACAACTGTTAAAATAATCCTGTCCCCATGTTTATACTCGTTTTAATTGTAGACTGTGGAGAATCCAGGTTGTGTGTGTGTGTGTGTGTGTGTGTGCGTGCGTGCGTGCGTGCGTGCGTGTGTGCGTGCGCATGTTTAGTTTTCTTTTTTTACAAACGGAATAAACTAATGTATCATATTTATGTATGATTTGCTGTATTTTATATTATGATCTGTGGAGAATGTTTTTTAATCATCTGCTAAATAAATATTGACCCTGACAGAATAATTAGTGCGAGTAGTTTGTTCAGTGTGTTTGTCGTTATTTCCTGAGAGAATCTTCGCTGTCATCAGCTGTAAAAGACAACAGCCCTTTTACTGTAAAACAGATTCATCAGAATGTTTCACGTCACAGAACCACTTTTATTCTAATATTTGACATCTGACGATGAGCAATATCTAAAAAAATACACAACTTTCACCTTCTGTCCCCTTTACTTATCACCTGTTGCCGAAGTCTTTTGGAGTCAACCAGCTAAAAGATCTAATTTTAGACAAGTTCATTACACGCGGCAGATTCACCGACTCCGTTGATTAGATTGGAACTTTGCTTCCACTCAGCTGTGTTTTGTTTACTTCAGTCACATGCTCATAATTATAATGAAACACTGATGTTGAGCATGCGCATCAGAAGGTAACCACCAGAAGGTCTGGCCACTGGACCTGAGCTGGTGGACGCAGATCCTCGGGGACTGAGGAGTTTGTCAGAGTGGCTGTTGAGCGGGCGCTAATTTTGAAATGAAGGAATCTGAAAACGTAAACATCATGTTTGGATGTGGACGTTTGACATAAACGTGTGTGAATGGATCGAAATGTCACATCAGGTAGAAGATGCAGAGGATGACATGAGTGGGTAACGCTTTACAATAAGGTGCACAAAATTTGATTAACTACTAGGAAATACCTCATGAACGAATCAGGAACAAATCAGGAGTTAATGGGTAGTTAACCAGTACTTACTGGGGAACACACAGCCAAGCCTTATTAAGGGTCTACTGGTTTTTTACCACAGAAACAGGAAAAATTCTCCATTAGGGTTATGAACACGTTCTTCAATAGGTTCAGTTCAGGAACGAGCTCAGCAGCCTCCCCTCTTGCCCACAGCCAAACAGACAAACCACCCTCCATTGATCCAAGGCTGTCCTGTCACACCTCAAATACTGTATCTACCACCTCAGTCATGGACCCTTCTTCTACATGTTGGTCTTCAACCAACTCAGAAGATACTGATGCCTCCTTTGCCTCCCCCCTCTGCGTCTCCAGAAGTCAGGTGAGGAAGCAGCTGGAGAGACTGAACTGGAATAAGGCTGCAGGTCCAGATGGTGTCAGTCCCAGAGTCCTGCAGGTCTGTGCAGAGCAGCTCTGTGGATTCTGCAGCACATCTTCAACCTTAGCCTGACCCAGGAGAAGGTTCCAGTGTTGTGGAAAACATCCTGCCTTGTTCCAATGCCAAAGAAAACTCACCCATCAGTCCTCAATGACTATAGACCTGTTGCCCTGACATCCCACATCATGAAGGTCCTAGAGAGACTTCTGCTGACCCACCTAACTAGACAAACAAGAACATATCAGGACCCACTGCAGTTTGCTTATCAGTGTGGACTTGGAGTTGAAGATGCCATCATACACCTGCTTCAGCAAACTCACTGTCATCTAGAAAAGGCAGACAGCACTGTGAGAGTCATGTTCTTTGATTTCTCCAGTTCATTTAACACAATCCAGCCTGATCTGCTTTGTCAGAAACTTCAGAAGACTCAGGTGGAGGCCTCAACAATCGCCTGGATCAAAGACTACCTGATGGACAGACCACAGTTTGTGAGACTGAAGGGTTGTGTGTCTAACCAGGTGGTCAGTAGCTCAGGAGCACCACAGGGGACTGTACTCTCACCATTCCTTTTCACTCTGTACACCTCAGATTTCCAGTATAAAACAGACTCCTGTCATCTGCAGAAATATTCTGATGACTCTGCAGTGGTCGGGTGTATCAGAGATGGACAAGAAGCTGAGGACAGGGAACTGGTGGACCTCTTTGTGGCATTGTGAAAACAATCATCTCATCTTGAATGTGAACAAAACAAAGGAGATGATTGTAGATTTCAGGAGAATCAGGAACAGATCCAACCCTATTTCCACCATGAGAGAAGAAGTGGAGGTGGTGGAGAAGTATAAATACCTTGGAGTTCACCTGGACAATAGACTGGACTGGAGATGCAACAGTGAAGCGTCTACAAGAAGGGACAGAGCAGACTGTTCTTCTTGAGGAAGCTGAAGTCCTTCAGTGTTTGCAGCAAGATGCTGCATATCTTCTATAAGTCTGTTGTAGAGAGCGCTATCTCTTCTGCCATCATCTGCTGGGGGAGCAGCACCAGAGCAAGAGACTTAAAAAAGATCAACAAGCTCATAAAGAAGGCTGGCTCAGTTCTGGGGACTCCTCTAGAACCTTTGGAGATGATTGTTCAAAGAAGGATTCTTCATGAAATGAAGAACATTATAGACAACCCTCAGCATCCTCTTCATCAGACTGTCATACAACATCAGACTGTCATACAACAACAGACTGT